ATAAAATGCGAAAGTAAAATCCCCATTGCCAATGAACATTTAAGCTCCCCCCCATCCCCCTGTGAAGTCCTTGGTTCTCTCTGAGCTTGGTTATTCGCATGCAGACATTTAGTTAAACAGCAGTGGGTTTCACATTTTGTTGCTACTGGTTCGCCGCATGCACACATGCTTGCTTTGTGTGCGCGCCTTGCACGCATGTGCCCGGCCTTCCGTGCATGCACTTTGCTCTCTTTCGCGCCTTCCACTGGTCTCAAAACCATGCCTAAATAGGACTGCATAGAGCCGGTGGGAGAGGGGCATCTGCAATCTCTACCACCAGTTCGCCTGAACTGGTACGAACCGGCTGAATACTACCTCTGCCTGATCAGGTAACATTATCAGTGTTAATGAATGTGGTGTTTGCTCCCAGGCAAGGGTGAAATGCTACCGGTTCGCACCGGTTAGGGCGAACTGATAGCGGCAGCGGCAGGTGGTTCGGATAACTGGTAGTGGCGGCAGCGCGAGGCTTTGCCCACCCGCCCGAATGTCGTTCCTTCCTGGTTTTAACCAGGAAGTAACCTGTTGTTTACCCTGCGCATGCGCGGAGGGTCCAAAATCGCATGTGACACATGCGCGTGCACACTTCCAGTAGGGAAGGTAAGTAGATGATGTTGGTGGCAGTGTGGTTTTCTCCTTGGTGATTCCTTGATTAGGCTATTGTTTTCTGCTTGACTCTCTGCTGGACTGCTCACAAACTCCTGCATATAAACGGGAAGCAAACACTACACTCACCAGCACTGATGATAGCAAGAGCAAGAGCACTTAGACTTATATACCGCTTCATAGTGCTTTACAGCCCTCTCTAAGTGGTTTATAGAGTCAGCATATTGCCCCCAGTAATCTGGGTCCTCATGATGTCACCTAGTGTTGGAAGAAATATCCAGGTCCAGTTCCAAGCCGGGAAAAAGGCACTAGAGATAAAATGGAGGCTGATTGGAAAGTGAGTTTCATTTATTGATGAAGCAGAAGCACGTTGGTGGTTCTGGGCAGCTGATCACATGGAGCTGAGAGGGGGGGTATTTATACCTTCTCTTGGGCTTTGAACTTGAGCTTCCTGTTCCTGAACATGTATTCTATTGGCTGTTGTAGGGGTAATAGCTGGCTCTGTAGGTTGGCTGAGCTAAGTTTGGTTGAAGTTTGGTCTGCTGATGCAATGAAGGAGCTTGTTGGACAATTCCTATTGTGGCTGAGGGCTAGCCCTACAGACCTTGCTCTAGGGAATTTGTTTATGAATAGAGCTAGCTATCTCTTTATCTCTTAAGTGCTGACATCTGCTGAGGGTTATTAAGGAAGGTGGGGGCTGCTTTCCAAGAGCATGTTTCTCCAATTCTCATCTAGGGAAATATAATATTCTGCCTTTTTAATATTTCTCAAAATATTTCATTCTTCTAGGAGAGGGGTGGGTGCTAACTTTCTACACTAGTCTGGCAATGAAATGTTTGCAACCAAACAACCAAGCTTTGAGAGCACCAAGGACTCCACAGCTGAATTATGAACCACAAATATTCCCTTCTAAGTTTTGTTGTTGTTGTTGTTGTTTTCCTGGATCCAATTATTTTAAACTAAGAATCCGAGAGAAAATGCTTGTTTGGAAAGCAGCCAAAATGGGCCAGACTGATATCAATCCAAACTTACCTGTTCATATCTACGGATGCTTTAATGTACAGTATGTGAAACTGTTCCATTATTCTTGACAACTCTCCATTGCGTGCCTTCTGGAGTAACCTATTGTTAGCCAAGTTGACCTTTCTATTAATAACAGTGCTCTGTTGTATAGGTATATATTTGAGCTTCTTTACTAACTTTTACTGCAGTTATTCCAAATATAGAGAGTGGTAGTTGGAATGGATTGTAATGGAACAAGTTACTTTCCGTAATGACAGTTGTTTTGAGCCGAAATAAAAGTGCGGCTAATTTATGCACCATTGCTGGAACGGTGTTAAAATAAACTAATGGAACGGAGCAGTTTTCTGACCACAATGTAGAATTCATTGCATTTGGAAACCAGCGGCAGGAGGAGGAAACATTTCAAATGAACGCGATTGGAGTTTGTCGTTTCAGTTATTAAATGTTCTTCTGCAAGACAAAATCTCCGTTTCTTCTGACAAAATTGCTTAATATTTATGTATCAATAAATTAGATTTTTTTATCCCACCTTTATTACTTTATAAGTAACACAAGGTGGTGAATGTACCTAATACTCCTTCCTCCATCTATTTTCCCCACAACAGCCCTGTGAGGTGAGTTGGGCTGAGAGAGAGAGAGAGTGACTCGCCCAATTTCATCCAGCCTGCTTTCATGCTTAAGGTGAGACACTGCACCTGAAGCAGTGCACTAAACTGGCTCTCTACTATGCTTGCTGTGCTTCACTGCTATGACAGTAACAGACTGTCATGAACTGTGGGAAGGAGGAATGAAAGGGGGGGAATGCTTGGGAAATAGAAAGTAGAAACTGTACTTGTTCAAGACTTGGCCTCAAGGTCACCCAGCTGAAAGAAGGAGGGAGTTGCATTCCAACCTGTGCTTAGACTGACTGTTATGAAAACATATTGCATGAACTGGATTAGTTGCACCGGAATGGACAATGAGAGACAGTTCAAGTGGGGGGAGTAGAACTCAGGGATTTTGGCACACGATTCTCAGTTCTGGCTATGCCATGCTGCAATACATATGATCTCTAATAAAGCTGTGTTTCAGTGGCGCAGTAGTTAGAGTGCAGTACTGCAGGCTACTTCTGCTGCCTGCCGGCTGCCTGCAATTTGCCAGTTCAAAATGAGGAGCCAAATTGTTGGGAGCAAAATTCTGACTCTGTAAACTGCTTAGAGAGGGCTGTAAAGCACTGTAAAGCGGTATATACGTCAAAATCCTCAGATATCCGAATGCAAGACTTTATTGAGTACATCATTTCGGCACCAATGAAGGCAAAACCAGCTCTACCTAATTCCAGTGCAAACCCACATAGTTACAATATGGATTTTCCCTTCCCCCTATTGGTGCAGGTCACATGGTCCAATTGAGTGTTATTGCATTGGTATGAGAAGAAGTCTCTGGTCTTGGCAAGCACCTGCCAATATATCCTTGGTTCTCACGGCTCTTCTTCTTGAAGTCTGGGACCTGCATTCCATCTCACTCTTCCCTCCCCTCTGGTTCTTTGGCAATAGAGAAGTGATAATAGTTTGCAAGAGCATAAGCGCGCTTCAAGCTTGACACAATATACCTGACTGTTGCACCTCAGTGATGATTTTCTTTCTAATGGGAAGGAGATTGAAGTGTTCCGATGATCTAGTTCAGTGATGGCGAATCTTTTTGGGACTGAGAGGCCAAACCAGAATGTGCATGCATGTACATGCATATGTGTGCGCTGGAGCACCAGAAACCCTAAGACCAGCTGGCTGGCACACGCATGCCTGTTTTTGGCAGTTTTCTGGGGGTGTTTTACAGGCCATTTCCAGGCCGTTTTCAGGGCTTTTTTTCTGGCCATTTTTGGGCTGTTTTCAGGTTGTTTTTCAGGCCATTTTCAGGCCATTTTTCTGGCCATTTTCAGGCTGTTTTCCAGGCTGTTTTCCGGGCCGTTTTTCTGGCTGTTTTGAGGCCGTTTTCAGGTTATTTTTCAGGCCATTTTTAGGCCATTTTCTGGCTGTGTTTGGCCCAAAAAAGGCCCAGAAAACAGCCAGAAAACGGCCCAAAAACGGTCTGAGAAATGGGCTGGGTTTTGGCCATTTTCCAGCATTCCAGCACCTGGGAAGAGCAGCTGATGATGGCTCACTTGCCCACAGAGAGGGCTCTGTCTGCCACCTCTGGCACGCGTGCCATAAGTTCGCCATCACAGATCTGGTTTATCTTGGTTTAATGCTAAAGAATTGCATTCCAAGAATGAATGAATTGGTGGGTCATTACCAAAAGGGATTGCAGATTTTAATGGCCACCTCAGGTTATTTCTTCCAAAAAAATAAAACTCTTTTGGGAAAAGCTGGGCAAATATGCTCTGCGTATTTCTGCACCTTCTTCCTTGAACATGGCACCATCGTCACATCTTTCCTGTAATGGTGAAAATCTCACCCAGAAAACCCAGCAGGCTGGAGAAGACGAGGACCTAAGTGACTGCTTTTAGCTTGGTAAATAACACTGAGCCATTGGATTCAGGGTCAGAGTGAGATGGCAAGAATATATATATCAAATATATCTTCAAAAGAAACAAACCCGTATGATGCAAGTAGGATACACCGAGAGGAAATATGTTTGTAAATGATAAGGGAGGGGAAAAATGTGAGGTGCTTCTCTGGTTACTAAGGAAGCAGACTGTTCTTCTCCATAAATTTGTTCTAAACCCTTTATCTGGTTGCAGAGCTGTCTGACCTACATCTCAAATGAAGGACGTAAAATGGCATCTGACAAGCTATCTGCTCAAAATCACTATGAAGGATTAACTTTACTACTAAGTAGCCATTCTTAACATCATCTTTAGTTTGGAAATTGCAGTCCAGACATCTTTCAGTCACTAAGTTTGAAAAACAGAACAAAATAACAGTTGGAAGGGACCTTGGAGGTCTTCTAGTCCAACCCACTGCTCAAACAGGAAAGCCTGTACCATTTCAAACGTGTGGCTGTCCAGTCTCTTCTTAAAATCTCCAATGATGGAGCACCCATAACTTCTGGAGGCAATTCATTCTACTGGTTGATTGTTCTCACTGTTAGGAAATTTCTCCTTAGTTCTAGGATGCTTCTCTCCTTGATTATTTTCTATTCATTGCTTCTTGTCTTTTCCTCTGGTGCTTTGGAAAATAGATTGAAACCCACCCAAACCTCTTTGTGGCTCTCAAATATCGGAACACTGTTGTTGTGTCACCCCTAGTCCTTCTTTTCACTAGACTAGATATACCCAATTTCTGCAACGGTTCTTCATATGTTTTAACCTCTAGGCCTCTAATCTTTCTTGTTGCTCTTCTCTGCACTCTTTCTAGAGTCTCAACTTCTTTTGTATACTGTGGTGACCAAAACTGGATGCAGTATTCCAGGTGAGGTCCTTATACTTACAACCATTGCAGCATCTCTGTGATCATGTGATCAAAATTTGGGTGCTTGAGAATCAGAATGTTTTTACAGTGGTGGCCAAAATTGTGGAAACCTTTTGGGAAAAGTGTATTTTTGAGGTTTGATGGCTAATAACACCACTTTTTTTTTTTTTTGGAGTTTCAAGATAATCCTATTCCACTGCTGGAATGGCCTGGGAATAGCCCAGACCTTAACCCAATTGAAAATCTATGGAGCAACTAAAGAAACTTGTTAGTCAGAAGCAACCAAGCAACAAAACCCAGTTAATAGAAGTTATCATTCAATCTTGGTTTTACATTATCACAGCTGCAGAACTAAAAGACTTGGTTCACTCCATGGGAAGACATCGTAAGGCTGTAATTCATGCTAAAGGTTACCCAACTAAGTATTAACTGACATGGTGATAATTTTTGTATATCTCGTTTTTTCTACGTGTTTCACTTTTCTTCTTTATACTGTAACTGCTATTCTAATAGCAAATCCTTCATAAAAGTTATTGCATTACATTCTTGATTAAATTATCTTTCCATTGATATATAATGTTATGGTACTACTCCCCAAAAAAAAAAAAGTGGTGTTATTAGCTAGTTTTAGAAAATTTTCCAAAAGGTTTCCAAATTTGTCATACAATTTTGTATGACAGTTGAAGTATTCCAGGATCCCCATTTGTGACCTTCTCAGCTGGCTGCCAATAAGCACAGTCAATGGTGAGCCCAGGCTCTCTTAACAACTGTCTGATTCACTTAACAACCATGGTGATTCACTTAACAGCGATGCTGATTCATTTAACAACTATGGCAAAAAGGTCATTAAATCAGGACACAATCACCTTGCTTAATGACAGAAATTCTGATCCTAATTGTGGTTATAAATCAAGGATTACATGTATTGTGTGGAATATATTTGGACAGGGTCTTTCTATTTTAAACACAAGCCACTCAACCTTTTGGTACTCTGTTTGATTTTGGATATCCCAAAGGTGCTTTTTCAAGAAGTAACTGGACTTTCTGATTTTTCTTTTCTTTCAAGACGTTTTACTTCTTCAGAGCTGAAGAAGCTTCTTGGAGGAGAAGCGAAACGTCTTCAAAGAAAAACCAGAACATCCAGTTGCCTCTTGAAAAAGCACCTTTGGGACAACCATGACCTGGGTGACCGAGAATCTCCATAGGCATTGATTTTGGGTAGTTTATTTGATCATTGGAGCTGATATAAACATTCAGAAACTATTCCTTGAAAATCAAGACCACGGGAAAAATCCCATAAAAGGAAAAAAAAAAGTATTTTAAAAAGTGCCTTTGGTAGGGATTATGGGCACTTATTTTGTTGATTTAGGAAGTTATGCAGAATTGGACTTAGTTTGTAATTGGCTGAGCACCCATCCGAAAATCCCCATAGGTTAGTCCGGGAATTTGGAAAACATCCTAGAGAAAGGCAGTGGTAAACCTATGTTATTTCCAAGAAAATTATATGGATTCAATTATCATTAACTAGGCTTGGCACAAGGGCATATTTACTACTTTAGGAATGGATAAATCAATCTAGCTCCAGTTTGTGTCAGTATTACATAAGGTCAAACATAAAACTCTTTTTCATAGAGTTTTCAAAGATAGTATGAGCATCTCTAAACATAAATTTACTTTCTAAAATTTGCATTTCCCCTAAAGCACTCTTTTTATCAATATTTGCCTAAAATATATATGCTTGTGCACATTTTCTTCTAGGAAAAGGTGAAATGGAAAATGTGGAGGAATGTGAAATATGGATAACTATATTCTGATTTATGAATCCTGGGAATGCAAATTAGCTGCTTTGCTTTAAAAGAAGAACACACAGTCAACAGCCCCATCGGAGACTTGGTTGCAGTTCAGAGCTCCTGAAACAACTGGCAGTGATGTAATTTTAATGTTCCAGAAGGGGATAATTGTTAAATACATGGGGAACAATCCTTTCAACTCTATTCAATTAATTTTTTGCTAAGTTTTAATTAGGCTTTAATTTAAATTAAGTTTTAACTTTTCTTTGGCTGGCCCACCCAAAATCCAAGGATATTTTGGTTGAAAGTAGGTTATGTAGCCAGTTTTAAAATAGGGCCTAAATCCATTTCTCTATGGTTTCATTTTAGACACTGAAATCAAAACATCATAGAACAGAATAGAATATTCTGAGTAGAGTAGAGTAAAGTAGAGTAGAGTAGAGTAGAGTAGAGTAGAGTAGAGTAGAGTAGAGTAGAACAGAACAGGACAGGACAGAACAGAACAGAACAGAACAGAACAACAGAACTGGAATTCTTTATTGGCCAGGTGTGATTGGACACACAAGAAATTTGTCTCAGGTGCATAAACTCTCAGTGTACATACAAACAATAAAGTAATATAATTATAAGATATCAATAGAAGGCTATAGGAAAAGGATAATAGTAATATAGTCCTACTGCATAGCAATAGCACTTAGACTTATATACCGCTTCACAGTGCTTTACAGCCCTCTCTAAGCGGTTTACAGAGTTAGCATATTGCCCCCAACAATCTGAGTCCCCATTTTACCCACCTCGGTAGGATGGAAGGCTGAGTCAACCAGCCAGTGATCAGCAGAAGTAGCCTGCAGTACTGCACTCTAACCACTGCGCCACCGGGTACGTGGGTAAATATCCTTAAACATAAGGCAATACTATAGTAATTAGGTATTCACAGAATGATGGCACGAGGGGGAAAAACTGTGTTGTTTTGGTATGCAATGCCTTATAGTGGAGTCCCAAGGGGAAGAATTGAAACAGTTGATATCCAGGATTTGATGGCTATGTAGATATTTTCTCAACCCCCTTTCTGAGTCATGCAATATACAGGTCCTCAATGGAAGGCAGGCTGGTTGAAATTTTTTTTTCCTGCAGTCCTAACTATCTGTTGAGGGATGCGGCGGCTCAGGGGCTAAGACGCTGAGCTTATCAATCAAAAGGTTGGCAGTTCAGCGGTTCGAATCCCTAGTGCCACGTAATGGGGTGAGCTCCCGTTACTTGTCCCAGCTTCTGCCAACCTAGCAGTTCGAAAGCATGTAAAAAAAAAATGCAAGTAGAAAAATAGGGACCACCTTTGGTGGAAAAGAACAGCATTCCGTGCACTTTTGGCGTTGAGTCATGCCAACCACATGAACACAGAGACATCTTTGGACAGTGCTGGCTCTTCGGCTTTGAAATGGAGATTAGCACCGCCCCCTAGAGTCAGGAACGACTAGCACATATGTGCAAGGGGAACCTTTACTTTTTAACTATCTGTTGGAGTCTATACCTGTCCTGTTTGGTTGCTGTGCCAAACCAGATGGTTATAGAAGTGCAACTCAATAATTCAGACAGACTCAATAATTCCTCTATAGATCTCTGCTCCTTGGGCAGTCTGAGCTTTCTGAGTTCATAGCTGCCAAAAGAACAAAAAGTTTTTATCATCCCAAACTTTCTCGGGTTGAAAATCAGAGAAAGCAGAAGGAAAATGAGCTACACAACCAGCTGAAAGTCTCTTATTTTGTTTCTCTCCCACCCTGCGTCTCATCCAGCATTTTTGAAGGATTATTGTTTTACCGACTGAGAGAGAAACAGACTGTGGTAAATTACAGATTAGGGTTTCAGCTAAAGAGGAATAGAACGGATTAGGAAGGAACAAATTGGTAAACTGGAACTGAACAGATTGTGCTTTCTTCTTGCAGATCTGAGGAACCGAGTCTTTGAAGTGTGACGGGCCACAATCGAGAAAGATGCTTGTGAACGGTTGACTGGATGTTCTGGTCTTCTGAAACCCCCTCGGTGCAGAGAACTATGGCGACTAGCCTAGCAGTGATGGCAGAAGGAAGCATATTGGAGACAGGCAAAGTTCTAAGATGATCAGACGAACCCATGGGAGGGCCTGTAGCGAGAAGCCAAGGTGTGGCTTCAGAGCTGTTCTAAAGGCGTGAAGGGCTCAGTTTCCCAGGAAGGGTATGGCCAGATCCTTTTTCAGACCACAAAAGTTTCTTCGGAGGACCCAGTTTCTGCTCTTTTTCCTCACGGCCGCTTATCTGATGGCTGGTAGCCTTCTCCTCCTACAGAGATCTCGCGTGGTTCTGCAGCAAGGCTCCCGAGGGTTCTCCAGGAATCAGGGCCTACCAGTCGCTGAGACGTTGCCAGGTGAGGCAAATGCAGAGAGCAGACCAGTTCAGATGCCTCGCTTGACTTCTAAGCTTCTTGTGAACATGCATACAGTGTATGGATCCAACCCGGACCAGAAAGATGGACCGCGGTGGTTGATCTCCAGAAATTCAGAATTGAGACAGTTACGGAGGCGTTGGTTTCTCCGATTTGTAAATGACCAAGAACCCGTTCTGGCTTCTGGAGCAAAAACAGTGAAGCACGCCTCCAAAAGCAAAGGTAAATCTGGTTTTGAAGTTTGCGTTAGATTTTGCAGAAGTATTTCTGAAAGGAGACATAGATACCTTGAAGTATCTAGGGTGATATTATTATTATTATTTACTTTATTCCTTAAACATGAAACTCAGTCAACTGAACATTAAAAAATTCATCACAAACACCATTGACTGGTGCTAATGGTTGATACAGGTTGCTGCCAGCGTCCTAGGTATCAAATAATAATAATAATAATAATAATAATAATAATAATAATAATAATAATTCCCCACTTTTCTACTTATCAAAGTGCACCAGGCAGTTTAAAATAGCAAATACTGAAAAATTAAAATTTAGTAGAAAATATTAAAAAAGCACCACCAAGAAATCAACAAAGAGCCCAATTTAAATTAATATGTAGTAGCTGCTACGTTGATGTCGATGATGACATGAAACCCAAGAGGAGCAAATCATTTCATTTATACTCACATTTCCTTTGGTTGGCTCATAATTCACCATCTGTCATTCTACCTTCACAATACCTCCGTGAGATAAGCTAGGTTAAACGATGGTTAGTAACCGGTCAACCTTATAAGTAGGTAGACCAGGAAATTGATTCCTCAAGATGACTAGAACTATATTTTATTGAGATAGCCTGTAGTAACAAATTCTTGCAAATTTGCCTCTCTCTCCCTTCCTATCCTTTGTACCAGTGGTGGGTTGCTCCTGGTTTGCACCGGTTCGCAAGAACCGGTAGTAAAAATTTCTAGTAGTTCGGAGAACCGGTAATAACATTGGCTGGCCACACCCCTGAACCGGTCCCCGGCCCGGTCGCCGCTCACTTACCCCACCCACCTCATCAGAGGCTTTTTTTTTTTTTACTTTTAAAAGCATTTTTTCTGCAACCTCCTCAGCTGAAGAGGCTGTAGGAAAAAAATGCCTATAAAAGCCTCTGGCGATCCCAGCTGAGTTGCCTGATCGTCAGAGGCTTCTAAAAGCATTTTTTCCTGCAACCTCTTAAGGGTGTAGAAAAAATGCTTTTAAAAGTAAAAAAAAAAAAAAGTTGGCCACGCCCACCCAGTCACATTACCTCCCCACAAGCCACACCCACAAAATAAGCCACACCCACAGAACCGGTAGTAAAAAAAATTAGAACCCACCCCTGCTTTGTACCATAGATGTGTGGTCTTCAACTCCCAGGATTCCCCAGCCACCACATTGTGAGTTGGAGACTATATTGTAGAGCTGCCCAGGATGAGAAATGATGCCTAGGGAATGGGGGAACCAGTCTCATTTTGACACACATACGCACCAGGCTTAATGCATGTGTCTTCTCCATCTGTGGTTGTCTTGGCAGCTTAAGGAAATAATGATAGTAAATAAAATACATTTGTCAAAGCCTTACCTACTTTCCATTGTATCTCTTCCTTCTCCAAGATGGGCAGCCATATGAATTGACTAGAATGAATGAATGAATGAATGAATGAATGAATGCCCATTCAAGGAAGTGCCTTTTATGAATTGACTAATATATATATAAATGAATTAATGAATTAATACATGAATAAATGAATACCCATTCAGAGAAATGCCCTTTATGAAATGACTAATATATATGAGTGAATGAGTGAGTGAGTGAATGCCCATTCCTGGAAATGCCTGTTGTGTGACAATTGGCAATGAGGGATAATGCCCAAGGCTCAAAAATGGCAACGGGGTGAGGCAAAATATTGTTGAGTATGCGAAATCTAATCTAATCTAATTAAATCTCATGATTCAAACAGGCAAGGAGATGAGTGCGATTGAAACGTTGCCTCTTTGGCATGTTCACTGTTGTTACATGCATGCAGAAGATGGGGTCTTGATTGTGCTGTCACGCTCACATCTTGCCTCTTTTGAATAACCCCCTGCAGTGGTTGCCTATCTACGCACTATCTTTAGCCGTAATAGAAACATGGATTGCAATTGCTTTCCTCCAGAATTTGCCCCCCCTCTATTTCCCAAGTTAGGCAACAGCTTGGTCATTTCCTGGTGGTCTCTCATCCCAGCATTAACCAATCCCAACTGTGAAGCACCAAGAAAATCAGGAGATCCAGACAGTTCAAATGGGTATAAATGAGAGCTGTGGTGGCACAGTGGTTAGAATGCAGTATGGCAGACTAATTCTGCCAACTGCCAGCAGTTCGATTCTCACCAGCTCAAGGTTGACTCAGCCTTCCATCCTTCTGAGGTTAGTAAAATGAGGACCCAGATTGTTGGGGGCAAGAGGCTGACACTGTAAACTGCTTAGAGAGGGCTGTAAAACACTCTGAAGTGGTATATAAGTCTAAGTGCTATTGCTACTGCCTTAAAGATTTATTGTAAATGTAAGCTGTCTACAAGGATCTGTATTAATGGCCTAGGGAAATTGGCAGGAGATAAGAGTAGAAGGAATTCAAGGTGGGTTGAACTTAAATCTCTTGTGGGCACGCAGGGATTCATGACTTATGACCAGGGCCGGATTTAGATGAAAAGAGGCCCTAGGCTATTCCACTTATGAGGCCCTTTCACCTATAGTGAAAGTGTAATTTATTTTTGCTAACAATTTGAATGTAGGGAATGTAGGCCCCTCTTGATCTTGAGGCCCTAGGCTGAAGCCTAGTTAGCCTATAGGAAAATCCGGCCCTGCTTATGACATACCTCGTGCTCAGCCTGGTCATCTTCTACACCAACTCTATTTAGCTTTTCTTATTGGTCACTTATTGCTTCCTAGGTGAGCCAGAGGGTAAAGTCAGCATATTGCCCTCTCCAACAATGTGGCTCCTCGTTTGACCCACCTCGGAAGGATGGAAGGCTGAATCAACATTGAGCCTAGTGAAATTCGATCTGCCAAATTGCAAGCAGCCGGCAGTCAGCAGAAGTAGCCTGCAGTACTGCACTCTAACCACTGCGCCACCACGGTTCATTAGAGATGTGAGCATCTCTGTGAGCACTAAGGGTAGTCAGAAGATGAGGCTCAAAATATCAGAGCAGGCCTTAACACAAAAGCCTTAAGAAGCCTTTTGTAATATTACAGATAGTCCTTTATCTACAACCATTCATTTAGTGACCATTCAAAGTTACAACATCATTCAAAAAAATGACTTGTGACCATTTTTACACTTATGACTGTTGTAGCATCCCCATGGTTATGTGATCAAAATTCAGACTTATATACCACTTCACAGTGCTTTACAGCCCTCTGTAAGCAGTTTACAGAGTCAGTGTATTGCCCCCAACAATCTGGGTCCTCATTTTACTGACCTCAGAAGGATGGAAGGCTGAGTCAACTTCGAGCCGGTGAGGATTGAACTGCTGGGAGTCGGCGGAGTTAGCCTGCAATACTGCATTTGTGTTACTAACCGAACAACTGCAGTGATTCACTTAACAACTGTGACAAGAAAGGTCTCAAAATGGGGCAAAACTCACTTAACAATTGTCTTGCTTAGCAACCAAAATGTTGGGCACAATTTTGGTCATATGTCAAGAAGTGCCTGTCACCTTAATTAAAAACGGTTACATAAAGCAGGTGTCAGTATTCTGAGTAACACATCCAAAAGTAGGACTTCTGAGGCAGGTAGATTCCTCAAAGAACGTGTTTATTGAATACGTCATATTGGCACAGCCAGTGAAAATGAACTCTAAAAAGTTCCTGCAGTTTTAGACTAATTAAAATAATAAATAGTTCCCTCCCCAAATGTCACTGTAGTTGGCAGGCTGCTTGGTCCCTCCTCTCTTCCTTCAATTGCCACCTGTTAGGATGACCTTGGTTCCCACAGGAAACCGCTTTGTTTTGACTGTTTGCCAGTCTGTCAACTTCCACTTCCTTTCCCCCTCTCAGAGTTTGTGGCAACTCTGTGGCAGCAGAAGATAGCTTCAGCCAGGTTCGCTCCAGAGTTGACAGCAGGAGGAAAAGAGGTTAAACCACAATATTCTATCTATCTCACAATGCAACAACAACCTGAGGAAGCCCAGATGGCTTTGAACGTGCAGCTGCAAAGGATGAAAAAAAAAACCTCTCCAAACCTGTGAAATGGAGCTCAGAAAGAGAAACTCCCACCTTCTTAGCAGCTTATTGTGGGTGTCTGTTCACAGCTTGTGAACTTCCTAATTGCATGTTTGGAAAGCGCCAATGTTCACCTCTTTAGAAGAAACATAACATTCACCTTGTCTCAACATCTTAATTCAGGAGTTCTAGCATTTCCTCCTACTTTGCTGATTTTTTTCTCTTCTCTACTCTTTTTTTTTTTCATCCAAAAAGGAGAGGGATGTAGATTCTATTGGCTATTTTTAGCCATTAAAAAAAAAAAAAGACTGAAGGTTGAATGATTTATTTTGGATCCATCTGTGGAAAGCTTTCGTTCAGAGACTGAACGCGGGACGGGAAATAATGGAGGGGAAAAAAACCAGAAGAAAGCAGAGCCTCCATTTAAGTCTAAAAAGCTTGTGTATAGAAGTGTTTGTGGATGTGATGTATGTCAGAAAAAGTTAGGATGGTAGCTGTAATTATTCAAAGCTGCCATCTTGAATTTCTTGATTCTGTTCCCTGTAAAGCAGGGGTGTCAAACTCGTGTTGTCACGGCGTCATCACATGATGTATCACAACTTTTTCCCCCTTCACTAAACTGGGTGTGGGCATGGCCAGTCCGTGACGCATCCAGCCCACTGGCCGCAAATTTGACACTGCTGCTGTAAAGGAACACAGAATTGACTTTGGGGAAGATATAAGCCAGGGATGTCAAACTGGTGGCCTGCGGGATGGATACGTCACATGTCTACCCCAGCTCCATAAAGGGGGAAATGTCACGATACCTCACATGATGGCAACGTGATGCCACGAGCTTGACACCCGTGATATAAGCAATCTGTTAATGTTGCTTTACACCAGGAGTATCTAATCTTGGCAAACTTTTAAGACGTTTGGACTTCAACTCCCAGAATTCTCCAGCCAGCCATTCAGGCTGTTGAACTAAACAGTTACTCAGATTTCATCTAACTGGTTGATT